GGCGCGGGGGAGGGAGGCGGGAAGCCGGAGGCCCCGCTGCCCCTCGCTCCGGTAGCGGCGATGGCGACGTACGTGAGCGAGCTGGAGGCGGCCAAGAAGAGCCTGAGCGAGGCGCTGGGCGAGAACGTGAAGCAGTGAGTGCGGCGGGGAAGGGGGTGTCCCCCTGGGCCGGGCCGTGCCGGGCCTGAGAGAGCGGCGCGGGCCGGGCCTGGGTGCGGCGCGGCCCCTTCGCCGTCTCCCGGGCTTCAAAGGGCCGCGCGTTGGTACCGTGCCTGTGCGGAAGCCTCAGCGCTGGCCTGGTCCCGGGCCCCTTTGCGCTGGTGGGGGAGAGCGGTGGGTTTAGGAACGACGCTTTTCGTTTGGTGTCTGCACCTTACCTGCTTTTTCCTAGATACTGGGCCAACTTGAAGCTCTGGTTCAAGCAAAAGATCAGTAAGGAGGAGTTTGACCTGGAAGCGCGCAGGCTTCTCACGCAAGACAATGGTAAAAAGCCATCTTGTGTTTGTTTTCCTGCTGGCTCTAATGCTGCCTTGCCCCTGCCAGGCCGGGGGTAGCTCCTCCCTGCTTGCTGTATGTTGCTTCCCGAACAAGGAAATTGCAGTAAGGGAAATCAGCCGGTAGCAATGGAGTTAAAAAGGTGGGAGGTGCCCTCGCCTGCAGGGGGAAGTCCCTTTGTGGCCCCGACGCTGACAGGCAATTTGGCTTTGTGTAAATACGGTAAAAAGGTAAAATATGCTGTCCCAGCAACCACAAAGCCATGTTTTTATGTCACTGTAGAGACCCAGTCCTTTCCATTCGGCCCTCTCCCTTTGGTTGGGACTGAAGTCGGGGAGGGAGTCCCTGAATTCACCTGGGTGATTTTGCGGCAGGCAGATCCCCTTCCTGGCCTTTGGGGGGTGTCGGGTTGGAGCGCTGAAGGGTGAGATTCCTTCTTCCTTGCCTCCGTGCAGGTCTACAAACACTGGTGGGCGTTGCTGAGAGCGTTGTGGGGGCTCCTGACTTCCACGTTCGTGATCCCTGTGGGGAAGGGCAGGGAGTTTGTTGGTACTCGGGCTCAAAGGCCAAAGAGGATCCTGTAGTCCTCTGACCCTGGCTTACAAAATTTGTCTTTGCACTTTCTAATGCATAATTACTCGCTCTGCGTTCCAGTAACCCTTCTGCAAGGAAGTTGCATTTTATCTAAACCTATTTGACTTAACTTCACCTTCCTGGGTCTGGCTCTTGCTGGTCCTTTTCTAGCAAAACCAAAAGCCCTGCTACCAGAAGTCTGTGTGGCAGGAGGGATGGCTGATCCTCCTCTGACTGGCTGAATACACCAGGCGTTTCATGTTGCATGCTGTAGGGCTGGATTTGTGTGTGTGCCACACTGAGAAGTGACCTAACTTGTTTCCATGCCATGTGTAGTGTCCTTTTTGTTAGTGTGGTAGGAGCAGATTCTGGGTCCAGTAGAAGAAAACTCTCTCTCAAAACAAACCAAACCAAACCCAAGTTGTGCCTATGGAGCTAAGCACGGAAGTGGGGAAAACACGACTGCGGAAAGGCATAGCGAGCTACTTTAAGATCGCTTTGAGGGAGTGCCTCTGGGCGTTGATGTGTTACTAATGAACTGTCTGTCTTTACGCAGTCCACTCTCACAACGATTTCCTCCTGGCTATTCTTACCCGATGCCAGATCTTGGTTTCTGCACCAGGTAAGTTCCGAGAAGCCTCATTAAAAACAATCGGGTAGTAACGCTTTGCCATGTGTGTGTTTGGTGGGTTTTGTACAAAGCACTCCAATTTTCTGAGCCTTAATATTCATGGTTTTTGCCACACAGGCAGAAGGGTAGCAAAGTAGTACTGATCCAGCTGATTTCAGCAGATATGCTTTTATAAATAAGCTGCGTGTGCTTGATTGGAGGCTAACGCCAGATCGCTGCGTGCAATAAGCCGGTGTGATTTCTGGATTGGGCGTGTGCTGCGAGCTGAAATGTAAAGGGAGATGCTGCGTTGTCTTTGATCTGCTGTGCTTACAGCTTCCCCTCTCTTTTGAACTTGGTGATACTCTTTGTTCTCTCTGCTGGGGATATCATTTTGGGGAGCTGGACTTTCCTGATTGATCTTGAAATCAAGTATGTATTGGATAGAAAAATGCTTACAGCAAGTCTTGATTGAGGTATGGCCAATTAACCCAACCTTTTGCAGATAGTTAACCTTTTAACTTCCTAAGCATTTAGAATGGCTGTTGTCAGGGTTGCTTGTCTATGTTTTGTTTGGTCTTCAAAAGAACTCTCAGTCCAGAGATATGATAGGAAGGACAATAGAGCTGCAATTCAAGATATGAAACTGCTGTGTGGTAAGGTAGAGAAAATTGTGGTAGCTCTGATGGGCTGAGACCTGAGAGACGAGTTTTTTGTGAGGAGAGAAGACCTGTTATTAGGGTACCCGATGTAGCTAGAGGAAGGAAAAACTGCAAAATTTACGGATACCCACAGCTTTTTGTGTGCTAGCTTGTCCTTAACTATACCAGCTGTGCTAATTAAATGCTAACTTCCCCCACCTCCAAACTTGCTTTCTTTGCTCTTGTACTTTACAAACACCTTTTGAGTCCCAGGCTTGTCCTCTTTAGCAGTCTGCACTCACGTAATTCAGAAGATTTATGCCTAAATCTTGCTGCTCCTTGCTTTTGACTTAGAGTACTTACAGGATTATAAAAAGAAAGCATAAGAACAGTGAGTACTACCTGAAGTAGTTGAGTCTAAATTAGTAGGGGGAGGGAGGGAGTGCCTGCATTCTCCGAGCTCAGCACTGAGCTGATGTGAGTGTTGGAGTAGAGACCATAGCTCAGAGGTCTTGCTTCTGAGTGGCAGCAGTCAGGTTAGAGCCCATTGCTGCGTGACTAAAGTTGGAGTTGTTTATTCCTGTGCGCGCCACTCTGTGCTTAACTGTATTGAGTTTCATTTGTCTGTTTATCCAGTCACTTGGTCTTGTGCAGCTCTTCTGCAGCTGTCTGGTCAGGCTTCATCTTCCCTGGCTTGAATAGCTCAGATTTGTCAGCAAACTCTACCAGCTCCCCGGTACCCCAGCTACCTTATCAAGTGCTGACCAGCTGGTCACCTCCAGTGCTTTCAGGCAGGCTTTCCTTGGCTCTGTGTCCACAGATCTGTATAAGCCAGCTTGAAAAAAATCAGTTTAATCAGGTGCGTGTTCTTAAGGACATGGATTAGTGCTCTGCAAGTAACAGTACATACTGCTAGTCCCTTCTAGAGTCTCTGTTTTGCTCTCCTCTGATCAATGCAGAGTCTCCCAGTGATTTTGGAGCTAATCTGTACTGAGATACCTTTTTCTGGGCCACTGGCTGGTAGATCTATTACACACACATTTTACTTGCCAGTCTGCTGTGTGTGGCATAGCAGATTGTACATGCAAGTCCAGGAAAGTGCAGTACAAGTGGAATACTAGATGTTATGTCTAGATTTACCATAGAATGATAGATTGCTTTGGGATGGAAGGGACCTTTAAAGGTCACCTAGTCCAACCGCCCTGCAGCTGGCAGGGACATCTACAACTAGATCAGGTTGCTCAGAGCCCCATCCAGCCTGGCCTTGAATGTTTCCAAGGATGGGGCATCTACCACCTCTCTCAGCAACCCGTTCCAGTGTTTCACCACCCTCATCGTGAACAATTTTTTCCTTAGATCTAGTCTAAATCTGCCCTCTTTTAGTTTAAAACCATTACCCCTTGTCCTGTCGCTACTGGCCCTGCTAAAAAGTCTGTCCCCATCTGTCTTGTAGGCACCCTTTAAGTATTGAAAAGCTGCAATAAGGTCTCCCTGCAGCCTTCTCTTCTCCAGGCTGAACAACCCCAGCTCTCTCAGCCTTTCCTCATAGCAGAGGTGTTCCAGCCCATTTTTGTGCCCTCCTCCAGACCCTCTCCAACAGGTCCCTGTCCTTCCTGTGCTGAGGACCCCAGAGCTGGACGCAGCACTCCAGGTGGGGTCTCACCAGAGCAGAGCAGAGGGGCAGAATCACCTCCCTCGACCTGCTGGCCATGCTTTTACTTCCCCTAGATGCCAGTTTGACACCTGCTAGTTTTTTGTTGGTTTTGCCTTTTTTTTTTTCCCCCCCCAAGTAAGAATGGAAAGCTAACAGGCTTTTGTCTCCACCACTGTCTTTTGGGTAGAAGAAGGTGTTTACGTCGTGATTCATGGAAACAAGTAACTTTAAAGAAGCGTGCTTGATGCACTCGGCACACCATCAGAAGGGTTACTGATGCATGTACTTTCCACTGTCGTGTGAAAGAGACAAGGGGGAAAGAACCATCTTTAAAATGCCAGTTTGTATTGAAACTAAATTGTGTGGTCAGTGTTAAAAGTGTACTTGATATTGTGGCATTTGGAATAGGAAACCTTGGGGAAGGTATTTTTAAGGAGTGATTATAACAAATGTTGAACCATGCAAACAAACCCATCTAATCCAAATTTTTCTGCCTCTGGTAGTAGTGGTTCCACCTGGGCTAATAAGGGAACACTGGGTGAATGCTTTCCATTTCTGCCTCTCATCTGCTTAGGCTGTTGGTCATGCAAACTTCAAATCCCAGTGCAACAGCTTGTGTGGCATGGGATGTTTAGGACTTGGTGGAGAGGGAGGAAGGTTCATGTCTATTCTGCAGGGAAGAATGACCAGGTTCTCTAATTCCTGCTGAGCTCTCACTGAGGGCACAGCAGGATCCTGAGGAATCCTACATCTGACTTTTCTGCCCTTTTTAAAAATGGGTGATGCTGTTCTCTCTAGTAGGTGTGTTTGTAAAGACACCCATAAATACTCGAGTGGCATCCAGCTGTAACATAGCTGGGAAGCTGTGAAAGTGCCTGAAGAGAGAGGAACTTCCCAGAAACATGCCATCCAAAATACTAGAGAGTGACTTAATGTTGGTTTTAGGCTGGCTACACCAGCCTGAGCAGTGTGGCACACTTCCCATTATAAGAAAGTTGTTTTCTTTAGTGTTCTCTTTTTGCCAATATTTTCAGAAGTGCTTTTCTAAATTTTTATGCCTGGGCTTTTTCTTCCCTGAAGAAATTCCATCAAGAGGAACTCGAGTTTAAAGCCTTTCATGGCTTGTAGGGACTTGACCACTAAGCTTATCTTATTTGTCGGATGATCGCAAGCAAGCGAGTTAGCAAGGTTTCTTGAATTAATACGTATCATCTCACTTGAACTGTTACCTCCCTCCTTAGCTAAATGTTAACAATAAAACTGAGACAATTGCAAGCACTCGAGTTAGTGATTTAAGGATTTAATTTATTTACTAATAATCTGGAGCCAGCTAAGAGGTGGCTCAGCAAACTAGAACTCTTGCTGGGATAGCAGGAGCATTTTATTATATCAGGGTTGCCCACAGGCTTTGCTTGAACGGCTGCCAAATGTGAGACAGGCTCCGGTTGCTTGTGTTCCACTTCTCTCCAGAGAGCCGGGAAGGGAGGAAAAGGAAGAAAATAGGAGTGTGAGTTGTCAACAGAGGAGGGTCATCAGAATATATTTGACTGAACCTTTGTCCCTGCAAGAAGATTTAAAAAAAAAAAAAAAAAACCAAACAAAAAAACCCCCAGAAAAACAAAACCCCAAACCAAACAAAAAAAACCAAAAAACCCAAAACAACTGAATGTCAAATAAACGAGGGTGGGGAAAATGCATGGTTCCTGTGCCTGGCTGATTTTCTCTGTCGTGACTTTCTCTGTTTGTATCTTTGTCCTTTCCCCCTGTGCGGTTCTGGTGCAGCATGTCAGGAAAACCTGACACACACTGTCTGGACTGGCTGGTGCTATTGCTGAGAGACGTGGCAGCTCTGAGAAAAACGTTCTTATCTGTTAATCATCTTTGAAGACATATCAGCAGCCATTGCTGTGGCTTGTTAACATCTAATTCTCTTGCTAGCAAGATTAAATAAAAACTGCTAACATCTCTGAAGTTTCACGCCTGAGCCAACCCAGCCTTGTCATTTGTGGCCAGGAAGCAAGTACTGGTTTTCTTAGAATACTAGAGGGAAATTTTGCTTTCTTCATCTAGTGCAAGTCAGGCTTGGTAATACGAAAACCTGGAAAAGGAGCCAAAAAAATTTTACTCTGGGCTCTTTATAATGAGGAACAGGAGATAGTATCTCACCTTTCCCTTGTTCTAAGCTAAGGCTGGCTCAGTTTTTGTTAAGTGTGCAGGCTGAGATTCAATTAATTTTCATCTTTCAGGGTCTACTGTCAAAGCCTAAAAATGGAGTTGCCATTTAGTTTAGAAGTTACTATGTTTTTGTTTTTTTTTTTTTTAAATAAGGCATTTTTAAAATTCAGACTCTGCTATAACCTATTCATCTCTAATACATTATCAGATAAAACAGCGTTGTTTGATTTTTCTGTCTCTATCTGTTCCACTTTCTCCGTCACACAGATAGATAAGGATACTTCTGTAACTGAGGCTGCGAAGGAGCTGTATGAGACTTCTGATAAGGAGGAAAGGCCTGGGGTGGGGTGACATTATGAGCTAGAGAGATGTGCTTTTATTGAAAGCTTTGAAGTAGGCCAGGCAACTTCTGTGTCTGTCCTTAACATACCTAATCCCCCCTGCCTAGAAGGGGTCTGACCTGCTGTGGAGGAGAAGAGGAAGAAAGGACTCATCTGTAAAGAGCAAAGCATCCTGTGAGAGAGAAGTGGCGTTATATTGATAGATCCAAAGATGTAAGTGCTGAGATCTCAATGAAAGGCAAGGGTCTTCAGGTCCACGGTGCTTTCCTACACCCCCTTGTTACGCCTCTACTGCAATGTTGTAGTTATGAGTAGTGACACCAGCTTTATGATTTTTGGAGAGGTTTTATCTATTATCTTTTAATTTCCTATCATTGACTGGTGGATTTTGACAACAGGGTTTGTTGTAGACTGTTGGTTTTCACCTCACTAATAATATGTAGCTAAACTTTTTAATAACCTCTTCTTTTTATAGGGATAATATGCCGTGTGTGTGTGTAGGTTGTTTCTAATGCCTTCTTAGCAGCTGACCGGTCATAAACTTCACCTGAATCCTCTGGTTTAGCCTGATCCTTAAAGTCGTGGTTTAGAAGTCTTTTTTTCATGGCAGAGGACACTGTGTTCGTGCCCCAGCCACGAGTGTGGGAAGCTCCCATGTAGCCAAGGACTTCCAGCCAGCCTCGTTCCCTATAAACAAGGCTGTAGTACAAGAATGTGCCTGAGGCTGGCCAGGTTGCGGATGGTGAGTTGTGGGATGGCTGCTGTCACTTCTTATCCATGTCTGGAGGAAATGGCAAATGCTGGCTCAGGTGTGGCCAGGGAACATTTGAGACTTCGCCGTGCTGTCAGCACCGCCGGGCAGCAGAGCTCCAGCCTCTGCTTCGGAGACAACTGAAATACCTTCAGAGCAGAGTTGTCCGAGCTCCCTGAAGGTGGGCAGGGACCCCAGCACAGGGCATGCTCTGCTCCAAAGGAAAAAGGGTGCTCACTCGCTGTGCAAAACCAAGGGACGAGGATACTCGTGACACAAAGCAGAGGCTGCCTCTGTAGCCACAAGAGGGCTGTCCAGTCTTTGGGTTGCGCTTCTTGTTCGCTCTCAGCAAGCGCATACGCATCCAATGCAATGTTGTCTTAAGCCCCAATGTACCTGAAGGAAACGTGCACGGATCCTGTAAACCCATCAGCGGGAAATCTGCAAGGCTGTCCTTGCCGAGAGCTGTGTGATTATCAGGACATGGTTTGGCCTACTGTAGGTGTAGCTGTCAAACAGCATACAGTGGACTTATGAGCAGTCTCCTCAAGGTAAAGTGGCCAAATGTATTTATTTACTGGTACTACACAGTAATCTCTTTCAGCTGCTTGCCAGTTCTGGTCAATCACGAGCTCACAGCTCCGGTTGGTGTTGTCCTGCTCCGGGGCTCAGTGGCCTTTGCAGTTCTTCTCCCCCTTCTTTCCCCTCAGTGTAATAAGAATGGTCAGCTGTGATGTTTAACAAGGGTCTGAGACAAAGCTTGCTAAAGCTGATGGGGAACTGTAAAGGCAGATGCAATGAGTCAGACTGCTTGATTCTGCTGGTTAGCATCTGACCTGATCCAGGAGTTGGTGGGAAGAGAATTTCCCTCCGGGCAACCTCCTCTCAACTTCCTGATGGAACAAATGGCTTGTTCGTTCCTTGCGGCTTTCCTTGGAGGCTGTGCTCATCTCTCTCCTGCCATGGGTTTTTGTGTGGTACGTGGACAGAAATTTCTACTGAAGTAATGGGTCATGAGTGAGTCAAGCTAGCAGGGGGCTGACAAAGGAAGGGAAGGGCTGCCGAAACCATTCTCCCCTGAGGAGTCCTACCTCTGGGCCATGGCTGTTGATTTTGGGTTAAGGCTTAGCTGGGGGCCAAATGTTCAGGATTTTCCTGTGTGGACAGTTTCATCCTGGCCTTAAATCAGCAACACCTATTGACTGTTGTTTTTTTTTTTTTTTCTCTTTTTGATTTGTAGAAGGTGCTGGATCTCTGCCATGGCCAGGTGGCTCTGCAACTAAACCTGGAAAACTCAAGGGAAAGAAAAAGATTTCTTCAGTTCGACAAAAGTTTGATGTAAGTGTCCACAGTCAAATGGTTGTGTGTCTCTGACATTCTGTTGGGGGTGAAGAGCTCTGCACAGCATGCAGTTTTTGTTACTACCAGGGATGACAAAAGTCCATCACATGCAATAATTTCTTCTGTTTGTTTTGAGTTCTGAATTGGTGCAGAAGCTGGGGGTTAGTAGCTGCTGCCTCTCTCATGGAAGCCTCTTGGGAGAAAGGCTATAGTGTGACCTGGCTTTGTTAGACACCAGAGAATCCATGGAAGTACACTTAAATGTCAAAGTTGCAAAAGCTTGTATTCGAGGAACCAACTTCACGTCACACATCTGCCAAATCCTTGAAGCAAAAGTGACTTCTTATTTAGTCAGGCAGAATTCCGTGATTGCGTGACCCACTCTGCAGAACTCTACAATCCAAAGTGTTAGAAGTAAGATGTTCCTTGGGTGGAACGTGTTTAGAGGGTCAAGTTGTTTCAGAATTAAAAATGCTTTGTAAAGATGCTGTCTTCTGGCGCGTGGCAGAGAAATGCACGAGATCCAGTTAATCTTGCAGTGAAGGTTCTGTGCATCCATCTGGTACTGTCACATGTCTGTTCTACAGTTGTTTCTGTGCTGCCAGACCAGTGGCGGGAGGCAGGCCTGGTGTAAAGAGGGTCAGGGTGGAGCACTGCCTTCCACGGGTGGGGTTTGATAAGAGGTTCAAACTGAATTAACAGTTTATTGAAAGGGAGAGTGTCTGTCTCTTACTGAGCCAGATTTATCAGGTGTCTGCATGCATCGTGATCCGGCTCCATTCTCTGACAAGGCAGAAAACTAAACAAGCAAAAAAGACCCCAAACCCCAAGTTTTTCTTGATGGTTTATTCAGCTGGATCAGTATTCCTTGCGGTTGGATGAATGCCAAAGCCAGGGCAAAGGAAGAAGGGGCAGCCGTATGGCTGGGGATAGGGGAGAAAGGTGGGCATGTTAAACCGCCCGCTCTTATGCTGTGACAAGTTAGCTTGGCTCAGCCAAAGTGCATACACACACAGGTCTATGGGGCCGGATGGGATCCACCCAAGGGTACTGAGGGAGCTGGCAGAGGAGCCTGCCAAGGCACT